CTGGCAAAGTTGAGCTACTTCTTCCGCCAGCTTTGTGCCAAGGAGCTCTCTCGGACCGTCATTGATGACTTGGAAAAAGCGGCACCCATGTTGCTCTGTAAGTTAGAGAAGATCTTTCCACCCGCCTGCTTCTTGTCGATGCAGCATTTGATTGTGCACCTCTCGTATGAGGCACGGATGGGGGGCCCGTGCAGAACCGTTGGTGCTATCCAATTGAGAGATGTCTGAAGACTCTTCACAAAAAATGTAGAAATAAAGCCAGAATTGAGGCTTCCATTGCAGAGGCATACATTCTAGAGGAGGCGTCGAACTTCACAGAGAAATACTACACTGAGAAACTTCCTAACGTTCATAATCCACCCCCTCGTTACAATGCTGGCGAAAATGAATCGAACCTCGGCCTTTTCCAAGGGCAACTTGGAAGCGCAAGTGCATCGACCACTAAGCAAATGAAAAATGAAGAGTGGTGCAGTATCATGCTATATGTGTTGACCAACCTTGTCGAGGTGCAACCGTTCATTCGGTATGTTCTAAACGAACTTGTTTCATTTCGCCGTATGTCCTTGTTTCATCGTCCAACCCCCTTGTTTCTCGTTGGTACAGGGAATTTCTTTGTCAATCCTGGCATGGATTAAGGCAACCTACCCCGCAAGAAAATGATACCCTTCTTTCACGGGGTGCGGGACCAGGGAGCCCCGATTTCATTTGTTGGTTCAAACAGAAAGCCCAAACTGATGCGCCTATAAGTGATGAGTTAAGACAGGTTGCAAATGGCTGTGCCGTTAGGGTCAAGTCATTTACCGGTTATGATGTGAATGGATATCATTTTCACACAGCAAGCTACGAGCATAGTCGGCCCAATCGACAAACCACAAACAGCGGAGTTGTTATGCCCGGCACTGATGGACTCGACTATTATGGAAGAATTGAAGAAATCTATGAACTATCATTTTATGGTTCCAAACCTCTTACTCCTGTCATATTCAAATGCCACTGGTTTCATCCTGGTGTAACGAGACGGACCCCTAAGCTTGGGCTAGTCGAGATTCGACAGGATTCCGTCTATCCAGGAAAAGATGTCTACATTGTGGCTCAACAGGCCGTCCAGGTTTATTATACGTCATACGCGTGCAAAGACGCCGAGCATCTTAAGGGTTGGTCTATTGTGCATAAGGTATCACCACACGGTAAACTACCTGTCCCAAACGATGAAGATTACAACTTCAACCCAAACACATATGATGGAGAGTTCTATCAAGAAGAGGGGCTACAAGGGAGGTTTGACATAGACTTAACCGAAGAGATAGGAATGGAAGTAGATAATGAAAGGGATGATGACGAGGACGCTGGAGACGAGGTGCGAAATCTGAAGGACATACAAATGCTTGAGCGATTACATTTCGGCAATGACAATGAAGACAACATTCCTCCTTCGGATAGTGTTGATGAGTTGGACAATTTTGATAGTGATGACGAGACCTATGATCCAGCTAATTTCAATCATGAAGATTATTTCTAATACATGTAATATTATGTTTTTTGTAATTATGTTTTGTTTATTTTTGCATATATTTCTAATACATGTAATACTATGTTTTTTTGTAATTTTGTTTTGTTTATTTTTGCACCTATTTCTAATTACGTCTTGTTTTTCTTTTTTATTGTAGGTGATTGAACAAAGATGGCAGGCGACCGTCATAGGTCTGTGAACTCGATTTACCAAAGACCACGCCGGTCGCAGGAGGGGGCGGAGGGGGCGGCAGAGGGATCGAACAGGAGGAGGAGGACCGCTAGCCACAGGAGGGGGCCGTTTCCTCCCACGCCACGTGAGGAGGACCGCTAGCCGCAGGAGGAGGTGGCACCCGTGGACGAGTCAGACGAGGAGTTGGTTCGGCAGACGGAGGAGGAGGAGGAGGTGGAGGAGGAGGAGGAGGGGGGGAGGCGGCAGGCACAGGATCCGCTTCCTCCAACTCCTCTTCGAGTGTCTACTTGCGAGGTCCCGCGAGCCTCCCACAGGTTCCGCTTCCTCACCAACGCCCAGTGATTCGCCCCGAAGGACAAAAGTAAGTAACTATATATGTTATCACCACTACTTCATATGATATGATGAAAAAAACTAATAATTTTTCTTAATTACTTGTGCAGGAACTGGGTGGTTGTGTCGGGTGGTAACGCACGGCTAGTCAACGGCATCCTGGGTCTTCTGTGCAGGCAGCACTTCCCCGGCATTGTCACGTACACATCGAAGACGGAGCCGGCCTACTTGTTTGACCACTACGTCGTCGCCTCCGATGCGGAGTACCCCAACAAGGCGGCGCAGGTGAAGGCAGAGTTTTGGGTAAGTCTTCCTTGCACAACATTGCTCAATACGTCGCATTCATTGGACTTTTCTTGAAATAATGAATCGATACATTGCTTTTGTATGCAGACTTATTACAAATGCGAGGAGGGATTTGAGGCCAGGGCGGAGCAGGCGACTACCAAAGCCTGTAAAAAACTCGTCACCGACATGCATCACGAGGCGCGCATCCAGGCCATCGTAACCTACTACGGGTCGAAGCTTGGAGAGAGGAAAACCAAGAAAGACGCAAGAGAGATGCAGCTGACCCGGGAGCAGTACCTTGAGGTAAATGAAGAACATCAATATTGATTCGATTTCAGATTAAGTTGGTTTAATTTGATCTTCTTATATGTCTAATACTTGATGACGTGTAGGTGATTCCCTGGTGGTGCCAAGCGTATCCCGAGTGCTGGGCGATGATGGTGGACAGGTGGTTCACGGAGGAGTACCTCAAGATGCACAGGGATGCCCGGGACCGTCGTTTACTGATGCAAGGTCCAGCACACCATCAAGGCAGCCGCAACCTCACCGGATACAAACAAGCATGGGTACGCGAATTGATTTATCTATTATCACGCTCAGTTCTGTCTGATTTCTAATCATCGTGCTGTCTTTCTCGCAGTCGGTGTCACATAGTGGCCAGGCTTGCTCGGACTTCCAGGCATGGTGTATGGCCCACAAGGGTAAGGCGACGTCCGACGTCTCCTTCAACCTGGAGGACCCGCCCGAGGCATACACGAACTCGAGCGTCCACTCCCGCATCAGTGAGTACACTGAGGTGGCGAGATCGCTCCATGGGGCAGACCACGATCCGAGCACCCAGGACTTCGATGGAGAGGCCGTCATGAGGGCGGGGCAAGGCAAGAAGCATGGGAGGTTCTGGCTTGGTGACGGCGTCATCGACACGGCCTCTACTCCCTCTCTCTCCTAGATCCGAGCACGGAGCACGAGCGAGAGCCCGGCCATTCGCACACGGCCGACCGCTGCACAGCACCGGGTCGACGCACTCGAGGTTATTCCTGTTTTACTCGTCATACATTGATCTTTACACACCTTAATTAGCTTTGCATTACTGAAACATTGGAGTGAAATATTGCAGGCCCAGCTGGAACAAGAAATGAAGGAACGTCAGGAGCTGGGGGCCCAGTTGGAGGCCGAGCGGGCCGAGCGGCAGGCCCAGGCGCAGAGGCTGATGGACATTACGGATTTCCTACAAGGGCTTGGGCAACGTATGGGCTTGTCTTTGCCACCTGGGTTGTTGGTTCCACCTCCACCTCCGCGTCCTGCAGCTGCAGCTACTCCTGTGAGTATCAAAGTTTTTTACTTTCGCTTGTGCTTTGCTTGTATGGCCTCTATCGTCCTAGATTAGCTATCAAAATAATCTTGTCTCACATGCAATCTTTTCTCCTTTGTGCAGTCTCCATCTGACGGTGGTTCGAATAATCCACCTCATGCACCTACGAATGATGCATCTGGGCCTTCACCACAGTCGCAGTGGCCGAGATGAGTGCATGTTGTATTTTTTACATTTGTTGTTCACTTGGTGATGGACTTGTGATATACTTGTGATGCACTTGTGGACTTTGATGGACTTGTAAACTTATTTGGATGGACTTGAGCACTTATTATTATATATTGTGATGGATGTGATATGGGCGGATAGATGAGATATATATCTGATGGATGAGATATATATGTGATGGATGAGATATATATGCGATGTATGAGATATATATGTGATATATGTTTGTATGAATGTATTTGTCATGATGGAATGCAAAAAAAATTGCCGTTTTGGGTCACTTTGCCGAGTGTTGCACTCGGCAAAGGACCCCTTTGCCGAGCGCAATGGTCACAACACTCGGCAAAGCTGGCAAAATGGGCGACCAGAAAACAGATTTTCCAGCTTTGCCGAGTGCTGTAACTATAACACTCGGCAAAGAAATTTTAAAAAAAATTAAACTTTGCCGAGTGCCTGCCGTGTTGGCACTCGGCAAAGAGTTTTTTAAAAAAAATAAAAAATATTTGCCGAGTGCCTAGAGGGGTGACACTCGGCAAAGAAAATTTTCAAAAAAAAATAAAAGTTCTTTGCCGAGTGCCTTCCGGGTTGGCGCTCGGCAAAGAATTTTTTTAAAAAAAATAAAAAATCTTTGCCGAGTGCCTGCACGGTTGACACTCAGCAAAGTGACCGTCAACGGGACCGGCGCCGTGACGGTCGCTTTTCTTTGCCGAGTGCCCGATAAAATACACTCGGCAAAGAGTGCTTTGCCGATCAATTTTTTGCCGTGTGTGCTTTGCCGAGTGCCGCACTCGGCAAAGCCTTTGCCGAGTGCAATATAGCCTTTGCCGAGTGTCTCAGGCACTCGGCAAAGAACCTGAATCCAGTAGTGAAACACGGTAAAAGAGCTCATAGGATAATTGAAAATCTCATTACAATAGGATAGATAATACATAGTATCTATTTGAATATACTGTTATAAAATAGAGAGAAAGTGAGAATACAAAGTAGTAACTTTTATTAGTTTCACGCACCAAATACGAGCTTCTAATACTTATGTTTTTCAAGATTTTAACCGTGGAGGTGGAGAGGTACGGTTGATGGACTAGTACGTAGCCTGAATTGGACTAGGTCGTAGATATGGACTGCTAGTTTGAGATATCAGACAACATCCTTTGGCCCTGTTGGTCCTCGCTTGAGCACACCTGCGTGAGTGAGCAGCGCCCAAAGATGCGTGATGAACTCCCCTCCTCTGGCAAGAGCTTCCAGATGCGCCCGTGCATCATCCGACGGCGACACATACAACATCATCTCTGCCCAGAAATCAGCAAGGACCTTCCACCTCAACGTCGGTTCTGGTATGTGTTCAATCAGATGCCTTGCAAGCAGAGCGCCCTGCTCAACAAGCGGTGCTTCATCACTATCACCATCATGGGTGCCAATTTTCATTAGCTTGTCACACCTGATCTTCATCGTCTTGGCTCCTTTGAGTAACTTGTCAGCTTCTTCGATCGATTTATCAAGTATGGATTCCGATATAGAGCAGTGGTCAGGCAAGAGGTTAGGCTCGAAAGCTAGGAGATGCATGCAGTACCCCGATAAAATGGAGGCGGTTCTGACCGTGTCTTGATTTCTTCCTGCTGCATCCAGCTGGTGCTCACACAGGGTTGTAGCAACGTGCCAGACCAGTATGTTGCGAGTCACCATTCCGTCGGTAGCAGTAGTATCACATGCCCATGATGATAGCTGCCCATGGACACCATTGTTTCGCAGCGATGCTACCCCGTTGGTGAGGTGGCCGTTGCTTCCTAGTAGACAATCAACAATGGCTTTCTTCACGTTTTCCGACAGCCTGACCGAATTCTTGCACCCCTTCTTGTTCTTGGCCTTGTCCACCAGGTGCAGTGTAGCGTAGTGGAGACAATTCCGAACCCGATTTCTGTGGCCAAGCGCCTGGAGGACACAATACTGCCCAAGTTTGTCCTTCCATGGGCGAAACCCCTTTAACCTCAGGAGAAGTCCTATGATCATCTCAAGGAAACAACCACTTCTTGTGTGCCAAAACGTGGTGACGACGTAGCTCCGTATCAGCGCCACCTTGAACCAGCCTGAGGCTATGTACAGGTACAGCTGATATGCCTCCAGGAATGCCAAGACACCCGCTATGAATATGGTGGCGTCACTCAGAGAGCGGTCGCCATGGGAGCGATGCTTGACGACCCGGCAGATAAGCCATGACCATAGGGCAAACATGGTGACCGGCAGACAGAGAGCCAAGTATGGACCCTTCTGGTAGAGGTAAGAGTACCTCGTGTAATATATGTCGTGGACAAAAACAAGCTCTTCCTCGACGACCCTGAACGCCCGCTGGTAAGGCTTGTCGTCGCCGGCGAGCAGGCCTTTGAACACGAAGTCATGGGTCTTGTCAAGCCCAGCCTCTGAGATCTCAAAGCCGGCGAACCTCCGGTTGAGCATCTTGGAAAGCGCCATAGACAGGCACACGTCCTTAAGCAACTTGCCCCTCTCATGGACCAGCAGACTCCCCGTGGAACGCCAGACCTGCTCCACGGTGGTCACCTTCGTCAAGTCGTCGTCCTTTGTGCTGCTGCACCCAGCAGGCCGTCGCTTGCCGATGCAGTATTTCTCGCCGGCGACCATGTACCGGTAGCCTTCCATGGTCACAGGATCGAAGGGCACAAGCAGGTTGTCCTTGTGCCGCATGTAGTCGGCGACCACCTTCACGTTCTTGCACAGGTACTCCTTGCTCACCACCCTCATGGACGCGATCATCACGTACCACTTGAGCACGACGACGAGCAGGATGGCCGAGAGCGGCAGAAGGTAGGGCGCGCCTCCGCTGAACTTCAAGACGATGGACACCAGCAGGAACCCCTTGTAGAGGTGCTTCACGTAGATGCTCTTCCAGCTCTCGATGTCGCTGAGGCGGCAAGCCGTGAGGCTGTCTGTGCTGCCGAGGAGCAGCAGCAGGAAGACCGCCCACACGGCGAAGTCGTAGTACGCCCAGCCGGAGGAGTCCATCCGCCCGATGGTGTAGCCCACGAGAGGGTAGGAGAGCGTGTAGACCCCCACCACGACGGCGTGGAGGAGGCTGTTGCTCGAGAGCCGGCGCAGCGAGCCCAGTATGTGCAGGAGGAACATGGCGATGACGGCCAGGACGACCAAACGTACTACAATAGCTGTGTTATCCTTGCTAGGGCAAGGGCGTGGGAGAGGGGGACTGGGACTGGCTGCCAAATCCATGTCGGCACTCGGCAGCTAGCAGGCCCAGTTTAATTTCCTCCCCGGGAATAATCTGATCAGAAGAGTGGGATTTAATTTTACTACTAGTTTTCTAAGTTCTAACACACTCCAATGAATTGAAGCTAATGGAGTATGTATGCGGTTGGAGTGTTGGAGACCTCGATCTCTGAGGTTGTATGTATATATAGAGAAAAACACGGATTGGCGGTTGCTGGTCCAGGGAACTATACAGTTGTTTTAGGCCATCGAAAGGTATACAACGAAGCTTTCCAGTAAATCACAGTAGACCACTCACTAGTTAGTGGACAAGTGGCACTGATAATCTCACCTATTATTGCCAAGTGAGCAACCAGTAGTGTCAGCCTCAGCCTTTTTTATAAACAAAACAAAAAAGAAAGAAAAAACAAACACCAGCACAACACCGTGGCCGCCCCGCTCCGCCACACTGCTGCAGCTCACACGCCACTCTGGGCCTGTAGCTGCCATGATTCCAATGCTCGTGCATCAGCCGCAACCGCCTAGTTGCCCTCGCGCCGGGCGGCCCCGGCCCACACACACCCACACACGCGGCAACCACTGCCGCACCGAGCTGACACAGCAGCCCGAATCTGGGAGGAGGAGGATGAGAGAGGGAGACAAGGGGATATGCAGGCACCACGCACACCCGCGAGCCCATAGATGCCATTGCCGCCAATGCACCAGGCGTCTCTCTCCTCATGCCTTTGCACCTCAAGTCGCTGCACTACCAGAGTGCCAGTGGTTTGCCGAGTGTATTCCTTCGGACATTCGACAAACAATATCTTTACCGAGCTAGTGCATACAGATAAACACTTGGCAAAATAATTGTACTCGGTAAAAAACTTATTTGCCGAGTGCAGGAAATAAAACACTCGGCAAACAACAACAAGACACTCGGCAAAAGACCGTAACGTGTGACGGCAGTCAACCAGGGTGCCGGCAAAGAGAGTCTTTGCCGAGTGTTTTTATCTGGCACTCGGCAAATATGTTCGTTTACGGAGTGTTTATTTTGGCACTTGGCAAATTAAAAAGTTTTTTCCTCTTTCCTTGAAACTTTTTCTACTCTCCACATACAACATGTGGTACTCCATGTTAAGATTTGGTATATTTCTGGATCTGTTTGTTATATTTAATTAATTTATTGCATTTTAAAGAATGTTTTTGGTATAAGTCAAATTTGAACCGCAAGTGATTCAAATAATATAATAAAATGAGTAGAAAAATGATATTCATGTTATTGAGTCCCGTGTGAGGCCTTATCCAGGAAATGAAAGGAAATTTTGAACATCTTGTTCATGAAACCCGACCACGAACGTTTGACCGAATGATTTTTAAATTCTAAAAAAACAAAGTTTGAAAATTATGAGATTTGTCAAAATCTCATGATATCATACGTGGAGGTTGTGGAAAAAAATTGAGAAGGTTTCGTACAATGTGTCACGTATGATGTTTACAAACCGAAGTATCTCAGAAGAAGAATCGTACCGTTGAGAAAGATTCGGTAAGATTTGGAGTCAAAGTGACAGTCCAATTGGGGTTTGACTTCAAAACTTTTTGTATAGGAAATAGAGAACAAAGATTGTTTCATGTGTAATTTTGGTAAATTTTTGGATCCGTTTGATAATTTTAATTTATTAAGTGCAATTATAGAATTTTAATTGATATAAATTGAATTTGAGCTATAACTGAAATAATAGAATAATATTCATAGAAAAATCAAATATATATTGTTGAGTGAATTTGATAAGGTATTTACAAAGTACATCGGAACAAATTTTAAAAAACACGTTACGGAAAAGAAGGAAACGAAGGAAAATGAAAAAAAAGTTGGTTTGCTGAGTGCACCTGGTTTGGCACTTGGCAAAGATGGGGTTTGCAGAGTGTCATATTCGGGACACTCGGCAAATGCCCCTCACCTGGCCCCACGCACAGTATTTTAGGGTTTAGGAAAAGGAGGATACGAAGGAAAATGAGGAAAAAACTGGGTTTGCCGAGTGCCCCTAATCTGGCACTCAGCAAAGATGGGGTTTGCCAAGTGTCAAATCTGGGACACTCGGCAAACCCCCCTCATATCCAGCACGGGCTGCACACACGCACACGACACACACGCACACGCGCAGACACGCACAGACCCGCCGCCGCCCCTACCCCGGCCTCCCGCCGCCATCGCCTGGCTCCCGCGCCCGCGGCCGCTGCCGGCTTCCCGCGCCCTCGCCGCCCGGCCCCCGGCGTTCACCGTTCCTCTTCCTCCCCACCCGTCCATCTCTCACCTGGCTTCGCACGGGTGCGCCGCCCGTTCGACGGCCCACGACACGCCACGCCGCCCAGCTGCTCCGGCAGCCGCCCTTCCTCACCGAGCTCTGGATCGACGCCTCCCGCTCCTCCCCGTGCCCGTTCTGAGACTAGAAGATCCTCCTGTGGAGGCTGCCGAAGGTCACCTCTAAGGAGCTCGGCAAGATAGGCCCCACCCTCGCAATCGGCATCGGCTGAGGCGCCGGCGCAGGCGACAGATTCTTCAGCGGTAAAAGCCCCGGCCTTACCCTCTCTTCTTGAAAATGGTAGTATTTCTTTTGTTTCTGGTCAGTTCTTGTCTAGAGGAACCGTCCGCATTGCTCTCTCCTCTTCACGCCCTGATTGATTTGGTCGATTACGGTACCCTAAATGAGATTGAGCTTCGGTAGATTGGTGCGTACTTTATTTACCATCCCTTTTGTTGGTTGCCTGGCGAGGTTGGTTATTCTATAATCTGTCTTCTTAGTGATTTGTTCTTCAGGCTATGTAGTTTTGGCCATAGGTCATCATCGCTCTGGTTACCACATACCAAGTCGGGGGTTTTAGTGAGGATATGGTTTCCCCCAAGTCGCAGTTGATCAAACAGATTTGTTTCCTCGGAACCTGCAGATTGGTTTTGAGGATTCCTGATCTGGCGTTGCTTAATTTATTCCTGAGAGATTTTATCTTTTTTCTGAATCGGTAGCGATTCTGATTTTTTTTTCTTTAAATTTTCTATTAGTAGATTGATTACAGGTGCAGGTGGTATACTATCAGGATTGCAGGACTTGGCCTTTTTCATGTAAGATAGGTTTACTCAAGGGTTTATCAGTTACAAATTATCTATTTGTTCGAGGACAGCACAAATGCGGTTGTGCTCTTTGTCGGTAGTGATAGTGCTTTAAGGATGGCCTGTTTCACGTGTCCCAACCCCTTAATAATGAACTAACTATTATGTATATGATTGTTGAACACACATGTTAGCTTCAAGTAGCCAAGTAGGTCTTTTGTATATTGCTCGATAAACTGTCAATGATGTCCTTTTTTGTTATGCTTGGTAAACACAGCGAAACATTCCTGATTATATGGAGTAATTGCAATGTGTTAATCAATGTGTTTCATATATGAATCTTGCATCACATGGCTTTTGTTCCCTTGTATGTGGTTGTCGGCCATCGTGCCGTTGGTTTGCTGTGTATGTGGTTGTCGGTCATCGTGCCGTTGGTTTGTTGTAGGTTTTGGTTACCTCACCGTGCAGGGGAGGTGCTGCCGAAATTTACTATTGACACTATTATGTTCCATTGTTGCAGGAGAGGCTATTGCAAAGATCATTCCTCACCGTCCTCGACTCATCACTTTGCTGGACAGCAAGGTGAGGCATCCGACACCTCTCTTTCCGTATGATATTCGTATATCACATAACCTAGCTAGGCGTCTCCCATTCGAAAGAGATACGGTTGGAAATATGCAGATCTTTGCATATCTATAACCATATCTGTTTTCAATTGTCCACGTTTTTTGACAGCCTGAGGATGTGTAGATGGGGTTAGTTTCCATGCTCTACTCCGACCCAAGACAGAGTTTCGGTAGCATCTCCCTGTTGTTCTCCGGATACACAATCTCCCTGCCAAGACGTGTATTTAGAGAACAGCGGGGAGGTGCTGCCGAAATTCTGTCTCAGATAGAAGTAGAGCATAGAAACTAACCCCATCTACACATCCTCGGGTGGGATTAGGACCTATCTTCACCTATTAGATTGTATAGGAACCTATAGATGCAATTGATTTTTATATTACTTGCTGATATATTAGAGGATGGATGACCGTGAGTGGATGTACACGGGCCGCTCTAGTCAGGGTTCGTTGACCGATGAATAGATTGAGAAGACTGATGCTTTCTTGGAACTAGCATTTGCAAGGGTTAAAGGAGCGCGTGCCACTTGATGTCCCTGCAGCGTTTGTGCAAACACACGTCGACAAACAAAGGTGGTCATGGGTAAACATCTTTGCAAGAATAGATTTATGGCAGACTATACCCGGTGGATCTACCATGGTGAATCCGATCGTGTGAGAGACGAGGTCGTGAGACAACACATCGAGGATTATGATGCTGATGCCGGGGTAGGAGACATGTTAAATGACTATCATGAAGCACACTTCGATGAAGGACGTAGGGAGTAGGAGCCAGAGCCAACCACAAAGGCGTATTACGATATGTTGTATGCGGAACAGCAACCCCTTCACGGGCATGCTAAGGTTTCTCAACTGGATGCCATTGCACACCTAACGGCTGTAAAGTCGCAATTTAGCTTGAGTCGAGAAGCCTTTGATGTTATGCTGACAGTTGTTGGTAGCCTGCTCCCGGATGGTCACATCCTTCCAAAGAGCATGTATGAGGCACAGAAACTCCTTCGTGCACTTAAGATGCCATATGAGCAGATACATGCTTGTCTAAAGGGATGCATCTTATTTAGGAAAGAATATGCGGATGCAAAGTACTGTGTCAAGTTTAAATCATCTAGGTTCCTAGAGGTAGACTCTGGTGATGGTCAGAAGAGGCAGCTCACCATCCCCGTGAAGATCCTACGGTACCTTCCATTCATACCGAGGATCCAACGGCTTTATATGACTGAGAAATCCATGAAACAGATGACATGGCACAAATACGGATGTCGATACAATCCTAAGAAGCTAGTGCATCCATCCGATAGT